GCTGTGAAACGTGTTCTTGGTTAGTGGGGACACTGCCAGCTTTCTCCTGGGTAAATGCCTGTTGGGGGCGGGGGTGAGGGGGGGATACTTTGAGACTATGCAAGTGTCCTTTTTTTTCATCATATTTTGGTGGGGCCATGTTTTTAAACAGCGACACATTTTTTATCATTAGAGCCAAAAGATAGAAACTTGATTTTTCCCGTTTCTGCAGTTACCTTGTTGTAGACCTGCAACAGTTCGCAAGCTGGCTCCGGTGGCGGGCCGCACTCTGAGGGGTCGTGCCCTGGACTGCACACCTGCCTCCGGTTTGTTCTCCCGTTTTAGTGAGACTGTGGAGTTTAAATAACAAATCCAACCATGCCCTCTTCTGCTTGAACTCCTGCAGAGGCTCCCTCTAACCTTTAGGGTAAAAAGTCAACTTCTTAGCCTGACATCCAAGGCTGCATCACTTGGCTTCATCTTTCCCATTGACCTCCACTACGTAGAATGCTCACCGCCTCTCCACATAGGCACACCTGCCTCCTCCACACACTTCAGCTGCCAATTCCCACGCTTTCAAGGCTCACGAACACTACTTATGAGCCATCCGAGCTGCTTAGGTTGCCTTCATGTTTATTCCCTTATATACTGTGCATACTTCTCTGAAGGAAGTTCATTGTGTTTTATATTTGTTAAGTCACTTGACTCTGAGTTTCAGGGAGTGGGTTTTGAACTTACAAGATCAGTTCATGGCAAGGGCTCAATGAGTTCTAAGAAAGTTTCCTGGATCAAAAGTCTCCCTGTCCTAAGGAAGGTCTGCATGACGAGGCAGATTCCTGAAAAGTGACACGGTGGGTGGAGAAGTCCTTTGGAGAGGACAGGGCCGCCTCTATCAATAGGGCCAGCTGCGGAGACAGGGCCTAGGCGTCTGCCCCTCGCCTTAGGGGCAGAGAAGAACTTCAAACAAGCAAACTCAAGATGGTGCTGCTCCTTGGATGGGCCGGGTCCTCTCTGGACTGTGGGGACCACTCGCTTTGTCTTGGCCACACCGAGCGGTGAGCAGGCAGCGACCCTCTGCGGTCCTTCCCTGCACCTTCTCCTGGCTCTTTTCTCTGAGTGAATAGAATTATGGTGGGGGTCGGGGAGGGGCACTTGGGTTCCTTTTATCTCCTGTTCTTGGTTCATCCTTAAATACTCATAGGTCTTAAAGGAAAGTTTTAAAAGTGTTAACACTGGTTTGAAATCCAGCCCAACTCACTTCTGCGGCTCTCTGAGCAGAAGTGAAGTCATCTCCCTGTTCCCACTTTTCCGATCTAGGGTGCATCTAGTTATTTATAGCTCAATATTGCTAAGTTTGCTTTATAGTGAGCCTTAATTATCAAGCATCAAATAAATTAAAAAAAAAAATTTCCCAGCACCAGGACAACATTTACCATAGGCATGGGAGAGACTTAGAATGTCAAAATAATGTATCCTAAAGATTTTCATAACTTTATTTGAATTTTTAAAATTCAAATAACACCTCCCTTGTTAATAATATAAACCGCAAATATACGAAATCCCAGTGAATCTTCCAAAACAAAACTTGTAAGGAAAATCCTTTAAGCACACACAATTTATCACTAAAGTTTACTGTTAAGAGGAAAAACAACACCCCTCCCCACAACCAAACAAACAAAAACAGTAAAGTGGTCCTAGAAATTACATTTGAGTAGGGCAGTATATTTCAATGTACTCATCTGGAATCACACACACAGTGTGCTTAGACAGCCAAATAAAGGAAGAGAAGTGTACTGTATTGTAGTCAATGTCTTCATAATCCTATGAAGTTTAGGACTAATTTCAAAAAGATCTCTATTTTTTTGTTTTTGGTTTTAAAAAAATTTCAGATTAACCTCTTTGCTTCCCATCCTCCGGGCTGTCCCCGAACCACAGGCATTTCCTTCTGTGCGAGTTTAGGATGTGACGGGGTCACGTACAGTAAGAGATGCCGGTGAGTCAAACCCGCGGCGGCCAACCACAACAGAGCTCTCAGAGAAGGTAGCCGCCTGCGCCACAATTTTCCGAAGTCTGCTTTGATGATTTAAGATTTGCTGCCTGAACACTCCCTTTAGAACCAGCCACCTCAGCCTTCTCCCGAGGCCTGGTCCTCATGGTCTGCAGAAGCCTGGGCGCTGGCGCTGCCCTCCAGAGCGCCCGTTGGGGCCGAGGAAGGGAGCTCGGGGCTCCCCGGCCCCGGAGCAGGGCCGGCTCTGACCGTCAGAGACCCACCCGAGCCCCTGGCTGGGCCTCTGCTGGCGTGAGAGGAGATGCTCAAGCAAGGAGACCAAGTTTTTAAAATCAAATGTTAAGAACCTAGCGAAGACAAACAAGTATTATTTCCACAGCTGTCTACCATCTGTGGATTTCAGATGTTTTATCTACAACTCATGGTTTAAAAAAAAAAAATGATGTCACCATCCAGTACACATACAGGGTGGAGCAAAAGTAGGTTTACAGTTCTTTATATGGAAAATAATATAATAATTAAGAAATAATAATACAAGAATAAACTGTGTTTTGTGTATTCACGGCTATAAGCCTACTTTTGCCTGACCCCGTGTAACTGAACCTTATAACCTTATAACCGAGACAAAACTGCCACGGGACAGTTCTGCCTGAGGTGCCGTCGGGTGTTCACTGTTGTATTATTTTTAATTAAGAAAATGCTAGTCCGTACCCAGTGCACCCACCTCATTGCCTGCTTCGTCCAGTCTGGACAGACAGTGCCTCACGTAGCCGCACATATTTACAGACGCTCTTGTTCAGTGCTTGCCTGGGAGTTCTATTGGAATTACATTCAGGCTTAGTCCACAAATCACAGAAAATGTTATAGGAGTTTTTTTTTTTTTTTTAATTAGAAATAATTTTATTTAGCATGATTTCCCTTTTATTTACCAGACGAGGCTCTAAATGATGTTTGTCAAATCAAAGAACACAGTTGTTGTGGCTGATTGTTTTTGGAAGACTGGGTGGTAGAATTTAGTGACAAGAGACTTCAGAGGTCGCTCAGGTCAGCTTGCTGGTCCTGGAGAGACCGGAAGAAGCACGAGCTGTCATGTTCAAGAATGAGTCAAGGTTGGTTATGTAGCCACGTGTTCATAAGAGAACGTACTGTAAAACACTGTCATGAGACGCCTGGTGTTGGGAGTGGGTGCTTGGATGTGATGTTGGGGTCACCTTGGTAGAGGCACCTATAACCTCTAGGTGCCACGAGAGGAGCAGTGGTGTCTGTGACTCTGTGCCTCTTGGCTTTGGTTGCTAGGGCAACTCGGACATGTGTGAGCTTGGCTATTTCAGCTCGGGCCTAATAAGAGTATATATAGGGTATGGTACAAATAACACCCATTTTTTATGAGCTGGTAATCTGTACTGAATCTCTTATTACAAAATTGTATGCATGTAGTTCTGTAACATAACACTATCACACTCAAGCGCGCCATATGACATTTTAGGTCAAATGTTCAAATTGCTGCCCATCTCATGCGGGACATTCACGTACCCATCCAACCACACTCTGCTGGACCCTGCATTATGCACACGTAAAAAGACCAGTGTAGGAAGAGAGATTGTTAAATCCAGGAAGCTGAGGAAGAACACTGGGAATGTGCTGGCCTGAGCTTGACCTTGGTCTTGGGTCTTTGCTTTTCCCATCCCGCCCAGCCATCATACATGAAGCTTTACATTCAGATCTGAACCTGCAATTGCTCAGGAAAGTGAGAGTGTAAATGAAATTAATTATAGTCAAAACCTTTTCCCTCTAATACACTGTAACTACAGAAATGACCATGTCCAGTTTGCTTCGTACCGAGGCCAGGCTTTCTCAGTGTTTCAGCCTTAGGGGACTCTATCTCTCACTTTCCCTTAACACATATTGGTAAACACTGTGATCTTTTCGGGGGCTCGTCTCGTAGGCTTTTTCTTAAAAAAAAAAAAAAAAAAAATCAATGTATCATCATAGACAAACAAGTTCCAGGGAGGCGAGGTGATAAATTCCCAGGCACATCCTGTGAAATAGATAAACTGCACGTACCCATAGCAAGGGTGACATGCCTAAGTGTTGTAGTTTATCATACCAAGGAAATTCCAATAAAATCAAGGAATCTGATTTTTTTTTTAAACTGGAGCAAGATCAGCAAATTACAGCTTGTGGGCCAAATATGGCATACTGCCTGTGTTTGTAAATAAAATTTTATTAGAACGCAGTCACGCCTGTTCATTTATGTTTCATTCATGGCTGCTTTTACATGACTGTGGCGGAGTTCAGTGGTTGCTATAGAGACCATGAGGTCTGCAAAGCTTGAAATATTTACTCTCTGACCCTTTACAGAAAAAAGTTTACTGACCCTTGGACTAATGGCATATTTAGAGATGAAATACTGGCTTTAAAAAGAAAAAAGCTGTCACTTTTGAATTAAGGCTATTTTCTCTTAAATTCTATGGAAAAATTCTTCTAGAAGATGATAATTTTTAACTAGGTTTAATGAGGGAAGTGCCTGGAGCCAGTTGGGTGATTGGTGCCTACGTTTTTTTAAAGTTAAAGGTGATTTAAAAATCACTATCTGGTAAATCAGTGCTGAGAAGGTGTCTGATGAGGCATATATGGAAGATTACAGGGTCGCATGATTATTGTCTAACTGTGCGGTGATGATTGGTTTCATGATTTCATCTGGAGTTGCTGATTTTGATAGTCTTCATCATAATTGTGAATTTTAATAAAATTTTACATTTGTAAGTATCATTCTGAATTTGGCTTGCTAGAGATTAATAAGGCTAAGCTAATAGGCATTTGCAAAGAGGCTTCCTATTTCTCGTGTTTAATAGCTGTAGTTCAGTGCATTAGAAATGAGTATGTATTTAGTCACATGATTTCTCGGTCACAGAATTTAAGCAGTAACACGTGGGGCTGCAGTGCTTCCTTGTAGGGCAGCGGTGTAAGTATGAGCTATCTAATGTGCGGTTGTCTTTTTATTTCTTAACAGACTTGTGGAAGAAAGCAAACTGATCCCAGTTATTTTTGAAGTAATCCTGGTAAGGAAATCTGCATCTGAAATTAAAAGTTTTTTAAGGTTTTAACCATGTCGTGTGGTTGGGTTCCAAGCCTAGCTCTACCCAGAAGGCTTTTGTGTGTCCTCCATGATCTTACTTGACCTTAGTGGGCCTCGGTTTCCTTGTCTGAACTCTGTCCAGGTCTGAAATCGTACAGGGACACTGCTTAATCGCCTGCCCTCTTTACATAGATCGTTTGCATTTTACTTCTGTTGACTTAAACCATATGTTATCTAATGTAGGAAGAATACTTTTCCTGGTGTTGGTTTGTGGAGGAAGGGAAGAATAATGAATTTCCTGATATTCACTAGGAAGCCCTCTGACTTCGTAGTTACTGGGTCAGATCTCCCGTTTTATGGGCAGAAAGTTGTCTTCTTCACAATGGAGAGCAGCTTAGCATCCATACACCATTCAGCCATAGAGTGCAACTTCATTGGAAATCGTCTGTTGAAAAAAACCTGCCATCTATGATTTCTTTGTGTGGAATACAATAGATTGTAGAGTTGACTTTTCTCAGATAAATCCCTCCTTAAAATAAATACAGATTGGAAAATCAGGCTGAAAATTGAGTTGGTGCTTTTAGCAAAGGGAACGCCCTTAACCAAAGGAATGCCCTCTGTGCCTGGAGGGGTTATGCCCCTTTACCAAGAACTTCCCCTCCACAGCCGCCTGACAGCACAAGGGGCCAGGACAGGGACAGGTCAGCCTAACCTGCCTTGGTCATCAGCGGGGCAATAACTGGGATGGTCTGATACCTCTTCACATGGAAAACTAGCTTCCTTGGCTCCTGCTAAGACAACATTATTGTACACGTTGTTTGTATGTTGATGCGGCTATATGGTGAGAACGTTAATTTTCTTAGCCCAGGTCACCCTTTCCCTTCCAGAGGAGCTGCTTGACGTTGCTGAGCCATTTGAACTGGGCTGGGGAGCAGGAGTGGGAGTGGGCTGGAGCCTGGACTGCCATTGTTTCTAATAGCAAAGGCTCTCACCAGCATGCTGTATGCCTGGAACTCGTACAAAATCATACTGAATGTACACTGTGGTGGGGAAAAAATTTAAAAATTCAGAACAAAAACAAATAGTAAAACAGGATTTTAGGGGGAGTATTAGGAGAAGATGGGAGTGAAGTAACACACAGATGAAGATCTTTTTAGTGAGGATTTTAGAGCTTTTCCAAGTGGTCTGCGCACTTTCAGTGGGACATGGGTTACAGCTGATTTGTTGACGTGTTTGCTGAATTCGTGCCGGAGAGCAACGGGCACAGTGAGGTGCGGGTTGGGCCCCGTGCTGTCCAAATGCAGCTGGTCTGTCTGGCTTTTGAAAAGAAACTGGTGTTGCAGACAGAGAGGCTGTAGTGCCAACAGTGGGCCTCAAGGGGCGCGGATGCATCTCCAGCTGGGACAGGAGGACCTCTCACCTGGGCAGATCCATACATCTTCTTTGGTGACTGAGAAAACATTTCTTATCTTTTGGCGGTCATCTCAAGGTCTAAAGTCTGCACATAGAAAGTTTCTTCGTATAGGTTACAAAAACCCCTCCGTACTTGATCAAGCTTTATATAACGAGCGCCTAGGAAGGCTTTATATTCTATAGACCACATAAATATTTAGTTGGTTAATGTCATGATTTAAACCCTGTCATTGTCCTATGGCTGCATTAGGGAGTGAGGAGACAGTAACATCTTTCCAGGTCAGAGTTTTTGTTTTTTGTTTTTGTTTCTTTTAAATTTTATCAGGTCGGCCAAAAAGTCCATTTGGTTTTTTCCATTCGATGGCCCTGGTAGCACTTAGTTGTCTTTAACTTCATTTGAAACAATTTTGTTAGATTGTGTCATGACAGCTGTCATATCAACGTGCATTTAAAAAAATCAAAATTGGTGATTTTTTGTGCAGCTATTTTAATACTAAAGATGGAAGAAAATATACAATATTTTTGGCATATTATGCTTTATTATTTCAAGAAAGGTAAAAATGCTGCTGAAACACAAAAAAAGACTTCTGCAGTGTATAAAAAAGGTACCATGGCTGATCGAACCATGCTCCAGGGTCAGGTAGACTAGTTGAAGTTGATAGCGATTAAATCAAGACATTAATTGAGAACAATCAACGTTACACCATGTGGGAGATAGCCTACAGACTCAAAACATCCAAAACAATAAAGTTATTGGTGAAAAGGAAAAATGCGCCCTTTATGGAGAAAAACCATATGGACTTTTTGGCCAACTTAGTATTTATTTATTTTTTAGAGACATGGGAAGGGAGGGAGAAAGAAAGGGAGAGAAACAACCGATGTGAAAGAGAAATATCGATGGGTTACCTCTCGCACGCACCGCAACGAGAGACACGAACCTGCAACCCCGGCATGTGTCCTGACTGAGAATCGAACCACAGATCTTTCGCTTTGCAGTACGACATCCAACCAGCTGAGCCCTGTGACTTTGCAGCCAGGTGTGGGATGAAGCTTTTCTCTAGTGGGAACAGCTCTGTACTCAGGTTCCTCATAGGAGAGTATTTTTAAAAGAGGTCCTGCTGCTAAAAGAGTAAAGAAAAAAAAAAAAAACCAGTTGGAAATTACTGCTTTTTGGGGCAGGACTTCGATGTTCTTAAAGACCATTATTAAATCCTTATTCTACTTTTGTCTTTCTTGAGTTGAATAATCTCAACTTTTTTTCCTCTATATAAACACATTTTCTAATCAATGAAATGTCTTTGTAGCAGTTATCCTGCGGACTATTTACCTTGTCCTTTCTAAATTTTGTCAATGAACTATGCATAAGATAGTATTTTATTGATTCTATGATACATAATTTTTTTCCTATTTTTACATTTCTCACACTGGGATGTATTTTCCAAACCAGTGACTTTTTACGGTTGTTTTTGGCCAGGCTTCCCGGTTGCCATTACCTTAACCATTCTATTTTGTTTTTACTTTTCTTTTTATAAGTGCCCAAGAGTGATATGTTCTAAGGATATAGGTCTGAATAAGTCTAAAACAGATCTTTCAATAAAAAGAAAATGAAAATTGTTGGTAAGAAGAAAGCATGTCATAGTTTAATCGGCCGCATTTTTCTCAGTGCTTATAAAAGAAGGGCATCATTGAACTGTTGGGTTCCTAGTGGCAAGGAAACACAGTATATGCATTAGCTGGGTTTGGTTCCTAAGTTCAAGGGCATATGTGAGGTCTGGAATATAGGTAGCAGCCTTTAGCAATGATGTGATCAGAAGGAGATATAATGGGAAGGCTGTCGCGGGGCCCTGCATGCTTGTCCACCAAGTGTGTCTTCTCGACACCCGTGAAAAAGCAGAACAGCATTTGGCCCGTTCTGCTGGGGGTCTACTGGGACCTCCTGATTGCTTTTTTCTTTACTCTTAGCCCATAATTCTTTCCCTGTTTCTTTTTGGTGTACATAAAGCCTGATTACAGGCTTTGTAACGTCTTCCTTCTTTTCTTGAGTTCCTCACATGCTGCACTTGTACCAACAGTGCCTCCTCTCCTGTGTGGTTTTCCTCGGGAAAGCAGCCTGTTCTCTCCTGATGGGCTGGCACCGCACCCAGAGCCCGCGTCTTCCCTGCAGCCTGGAGGCTAGTGAACGCAAAGGGAGTCGCATTCTGAATCTGATGTCCTGTTTGCACAAAATAGCCACTACAAATCTTAAGATTTCTGGGGTTGTGTGTTAGAACCAAGAGCTCTAAGTATGGATTGCACTGGTTAAACACATCAATAATTGGAAACCATTTTTTATTTTTAAAGATTTTACTTATTTATTTTTAGAGAGGGGAAGGGAGGGAGAAAGAATGGGAAGGAGACATCAATGTGTGGTTACCTCTCACACGTCCCCTGCTGGGGACCTGGCCCGCAACCCAGGCATGTATCTGGCTGGGAATCGAACTGGTGACCCTTTGGTTCGCAGGCCGGCACTCAGTCCACTGAGTCACACCAGCCAGGACAAAAGTAGTTTTTTTTATTAAAAAAAAAAAAGCGCTAAACACAGTGTCCGATTACAACTGCCAACTCAGGAGACACAGTGCGCCCTCCAGTCTGAGTGCCTACTATCTGCCCCCTGGATTTGCAGTGAAGGGAGAGGCAGGTGTGGACACATGACTGGTCAGGAGCAGTAGGGGAGCTTCATGGAAGGAGGCAGAAGACACCTTGGATCCAGGGGAGGGAGTGACCGGCTGCTCAGTGTGGCGAGAGGAGTCTCGCAGAGGTAACCTGCCAATGTGGCCTCGAGGGAGCTGTCATGAGGAGGGTGGGGGTGGCCAGCTTGGGGCGTGGGGAGTTCTCAGCTGTGTGTGCCTGGGCCAGAGACCACGGAGTGAGGCTGGAGGGCCACTGGGGACCTGATCCCGCAGGGCTTCATACTGTGGTTGTTCGATGTTTGTTTGGTTTGGCAAATAATTTATGCTAAAACCAGGTGGTATCCTCTCCTTAAAAAAAAAACCCAAAGCCAAAAACCTTTCAGAGCCCTGTGCTGATGGGCGACATGCAGTGAGGAGGTAGGCCGCTGGGCCACGGGCTGGCCCTGGGAGAGAACCAGGCTTGGGGGCACAGGGCTATTTATGCTGGAAGCTTGAAACAGGTTGAAAGCTGATGTCTGAGCGTCCCCTGCGTCCTCCATCAGCGAGGTTTCTGAGATCAGCCAAAAGGGCTGTGGGGAAGGAAGCATGAAAGACAGAGCCAGTCTCCGAGGTCTCAGCCAAGGGCCCAGGAGACCTAGCCCCACATTCAGGGCAGAGCAGGCGGAGTGGGTTTTATCCTGTGTGCCAGCCACAAGTGCCCCTGCTCTCGGCAGGCCAAGCCGTGGGAGAGCCAGGGAGCTGATGGCTTACCAGCAGGAGCTGTCACAGCAGCTGGGCGCTGCTTCCCAGGCAGAGCGCGCCCGCAAGAGCGCCCCATTTATGTTGGTCGTAGTCGCAGCTGGGTCGGATGGGGGATGGAGGCTCAGGCAGCAAGCACGCAGTGGATCACGCTGACCCGATC